TTCTTCCCCGAGGAAGGAAAAGTTATTGTTTTAGCATCTTCAGAGGAAGAGAGGGAGCAATGTATAACGCAATTTCAAAATACGTATCAAGAAATCATTAAAAATCGTCAGTTGAAGTCTGGCAGTCTTGAAATACCACCTGCCTTTCAAATGGAAAATATGTTTGATTTATTAGAAGAATTTGGTGGCAAGTATAATCAATGTCACTTTTCATGTGATGAGAAAGCTCGAGTGGTTAAGATAGTATCAATGTCATCACGTCAATTTGATCAGGCAAGGAAGCTGATAACTGATCGACTGGCAGGAGAGAAACAGGAAGATAAGACAGGAAAGAATAAAGAAGGGAAAGGAGGAGGAGGCAAAGGGCCTGGGAAAGGAGCTAAAATATCAACCAAAACTGGTTCATCTGAAGTATTATCAATTAGTAAAGGCCATAAGCTTACAGTAAAAAGAAGCAATATAGTAGAAGAAGATGTTGATGCAATCGTCAATGCTGCTAATTCAAGATTAGATCATGGAGCAGGAGTAGCAGGAGCTCTTAGTAAAGCAAGTCGTGGAGAATTGCAAAGAGCATCTGATACATATGTTAGGAATTATGGTCAGGTACCAGTTGGAGGAGCTGCACTTACCAGTGCTGGAGGAAAGTTGAAATGCAAGCGTGTGATACATGCTGTTGGTCCTATTGCCTCATCACAAATGACTGATTTAGCATGTTCTCAGCTCATATATCAAGCTATTACTAATTCTCTCATTGAAGCAGAAAAAATGAAAGCAGTATCGGTATCATTCCCAGCATTAAGTACAGGAATATATGCAGTTAATAAATCATTAGCTGCTGAAGCTATATTTCAAGCAATATTGAAGTACCATTACACCAATAACAGCATATTGAAAGATATTCGTATTGTCATATTAGATGAAGATACCTACTCCGTATTCGCTCAACATTTACTGGCTATGAAATCCAATCCAATTCTTACCGAGACATCTTTCCAATCACCTGGTGCTGATACTCATGGTAATGTCTCACAGAGCAATGGCTCTTCATCTCATAGCAGTCATACTCCTGGACCTACTGCATTGAGTGAGAATTCCCCTCATGCTGCTTCTGGAGGGAAAAGTAAAACATGGAGTGGGACTGGGAGTGGTGCTACTGGAACAGGGAATACTCCATGGACTGGGCAGGGAGGTGCAGGGAATACTGCATGGACTGGGCAGGGAGGTGCAGGGAATACTGCATTGACTGGGCAGGGAGGTGCAGGGAATACTGCATGGACTGGACAGGGAGGTGCAGGGAGTACTACATGGACTGGACAGGGAGGTGCAGGGAGTACTACATGGACTGGACAGGGAGGTGCAGGGAATACTGCATGGACTGGACAGGGAGGTGCAGGGAGTACTACATGGACTGGACAGGGAGGTGCAGGGAATACTGCATGGACTGGACAGGGAGGTGCAGGGAATACTACATGGACTGGGCAGGGAGGTGCTGGGAATACTGCATTGACTGGGCAGGGAGGTGCAGGGAGTACTCCATGGAC